GAATACCCATCCTGAGAATGAACGTTTTACATGTAATCAATGAATTTACTTGATCCCCTCTGCATTTTTTTAAATGCACAAGATCAGTGATGGAGAACTGGCAACATAAACCTTGGCTGTGATACCCTTGCCCACCAGCTGTAAGGAGTAAGGAAGGAATATCCAAGCCCAACAGCCACATCCACCTCACAAAAGCATTTCTGTTGCCTGTGTGCATGGTTCGGTGTTATTAAATGAGTGGATATGAGCCACAAGTTATTAAAGCATTTCTCAGTAATGAATCAGCACTTTCCAGGGGAAAGGTAAAGGAGCCAACATTGGGCCCAGTACAGTAGCCTAGTGGCTAAAATCCTTGCCTTGCACAAACCAGGATCCCATATGGGTGCTTGTTCATGTCCTGGCGACCCTGCTTGCCATCCAGCTCCCCGCTTGTGGCCTGGGAAAGCAGTCAAGGACGGTCCAAAGCCTTGGGGCCCTGTACCAGTGTGACATACCTGGAAAAGGCTACTGGCTCTTGGCTTCAGATTGGCTCAACTCCAGCTGTTATGACCACTTGGGGAAGGTCTTCCTCTCTGTCTCTCCTCCTCTCTGTATATCTGACTTTCCAATAAAAACAAACTAAATCTTTTTTTTTTTTTAATGAGCTAATGCTAAGCCAATCCTAATCTCGAGAATCTGAACTCAGACTCCTCTGCCTCCCTGCCTCAGTGCCTGTATCTCAACACCCTCCGTTGACTTCAGCTCTTCTGTGGGATCCTAGTTTCCTAAAGGAAGCCTTAGTTTTACCTTATCTTTTATCCATTTGACCTTTAGCATCTCACATCAAAAGGACCAATGGCTGTAAACCAATGGTCAATGCCAGTTCTGAAGAGAGGGCGAGACTCAAGCCCACAGGACACTGTGTAGGTCCTTTCCCTTTGAACTTCCGCTTGAACAAATCACATGGGTATCCATGAAGTGTTGTCTGTCTTAGTCACACATAGGACAGTGTAATGTATATCTTGCAGTCAAAGGTGTCTGATACTTAGTAGAAAATGATGTAGATAGCAATGTGGTATTCTATCTCTGACAAATGCCCCCAAAATACATTAAGTGTTAACTTCTCTGACAACCTCAAGAGAGTTCCTTGCCCTCGTAGCATCTCGAATCCCCTTCATGATTCTTCATCTACCTTACACAGATTAAAAAGGTAAAACTTGGGATGATTGGCCTGGTGGTTAGGACAGCCGTGTCCCCTAGTGAAGTGCTTCAGTTTGATGCTTGGCTTTGCTTCTGACTCCAGCACACTCTGCTCAGCAGCAGGTGAGAGTTCAAGCACGTTAGTTCTCACCCACATGTGGAAGACTGGGATGGAGTTTCAGTATCCTGAGGGTTTGCAATGTGAACCAGTAGTTGGGAGCTGTCTCTTTTCTGTCTTTGCTTCTTAAATAAATAAAATTTCTAAATGCCAAATGTATTTTTAAAAATATTTTTGCATTTATTTTTATTTGAAAGTCAAGGAGAGAGAGAAAGAGAGAGGCCTCCCATTTGCTACTTCACTCCTGAGATGGCAACAACATTTAGAGCTGGGCAGATCTGAAGCCAGGAACCAGAAGTTTCTTTTGGGTCTCCCACATAGGTATAAGGGCCCAAGGTCTTGGATCAGCCTCTACTGCTTTCCCAGGCCATAAGCAGGGAGCTGGGTCACAAGTGGAGGAGCTGGGACATGAACTGGCTCCTATAGAGATGTTTGGTACTACATATGAAGGATTAGTTTGGTAAACCACCATGCTGACCACCCCGTCCCCCCCAAATGCAAGTTTTGAATGTATTCCAAAACTTTAAGGGAAATTCTTCATATTTTGATGTCCACATACACTTGTTACAGTATTAAATGCAGTGTGTAATCTTACTCTTCTTCACTTTCCACTTCCATCTCCCCTCTTCTCCAGCTTTAAGTGACAGGAAGAAAATTACAGCATTTTGGAAAGAATACATTCATTTCAGCTCTTGTCCTATTCTGTCACTAATTGATGCATGCCTCATCTGTCTGTCATGAGCTCATGTTTCTTTCCAGGAAAGCTGGGCTGGATGAAGCCACACGTGTGGATGGCCTGTACAATGACTGAATGCTGTGTTCTGATGGACAGGTAGGCATCTGTTTCCCTCTACAATTTTACCAGTTTTGGGTCACTTCCAAAGACAACACTTCAGAAGATAAGGTATCCCTTAGGGGGAGTGTTTGATTATTTCCTAAATTCATCCATGAAGGCTGGGTGATTTCTGTTCTTCAGACATGTATAAGGCAAGGAAAACAAAGAGATCCGTTGTTAGCTTTGACTGCATCCAGTTTCCAGGGAGGAGGTGAACTCCTTGCTTTAACCAAGGGCTGTCAGCAGCATCCTCTGACTCTGCCTGGCCCTGCAGTGGCAGCTGCTTTTGCTATGGCCGCTGGGGCAGGCTTATCTTGATATTCTTAAGACCGTGCAAGCTTTAACTTGAAATTGTGGGCTTCTTACCATGTAACTTACCACAGATGTTTTATGTTCGCCATTAAAATAATAATCACTTACTTGTGATTTTCTTCCTTTATTTTTTTTTAAAAACTTCATTCTTAACTTCTGTTTATGCATTTAAGAGTACTGCAGTTGTCTTTGTTTGGTTGTAGGGATAAATTACGGAATGGGAGTGGGTGGACAGTAGGACACTAACAGACATGTACATAGCGTCCATGTAGCACTTGATCGGAGCTGCATTGAAGCCTCTTGGGTGAGTGTAAAAAAAAAAAAAAAAAAAAAGGCATCCAAATGTGAAATGAGGACTTGGAGACAGATTGAAAGAGACTCAGAACTGGACCCAATTCCCAAGTTCAAAACAAGTCTCCTGAGCACAGATAACCCAACTTTCGGGTTTTGATTTTTGGTTATGGCTTTGTCTGAGTATAAGAAAAGATTGATGGAAAAATGGTGTCCGAGTAGGCGTTTGGCACAATTATCTCATTCACTTAAACCAGAGCCATGTTCTGTCAGTTAGTTACCTTTTTATTTTCTCTTGACTGAAAATGAACTTGTTAGCGGGCTATTTTTCTTTATGTCTTTCTGGAGCAGTTCCAGATTCTTACAGCGTGACAGAGTAAGTGCTTGCCTAAAGGCGTTCTGGAGAGCAGACAGCACAGGAAAGGGTGTGGGGGGTAAAATGCATGAAAGAATTAGTACAAAACGGGTCATCAAACCTGCAACACAGCTTGCAGAGGATATAATTTGCCAACTAAGTGACTCACTACCAATGACCAAAACCTAAAAATATATAGGGAAGAAGTACATGGTCTGAATTTAAACTAAAAATGCAAGAGAGACTTGCAAGTGGGAAATATCTGAAGTGGAAAATAATTTTCCAACATTGAGAATTTATTCTTGTAAACTGACAAAGAAAGAATTCCTTCTTGACTTTAGAATGTATTTTCTTTGGACAATAACATAACACTGGCCAAACTTCGTTTGTGATTCTAGTTTTTAAGATACAGTTCTTATACTGTATTCAGACTTTGTAAAACAATTTTACCTCTTTGTTTTCATTTTATTTGGAAGGCAGAGAAAGCAGAAGTATGGGGGGGGGGAAGACACAGAAAAAGAGAGAGATAAAGAGAATAACTCTCAATGCATTGGTCCACTTGCCAAATACCCACAGTCTAGGCTCTGCCAAGCCACACCAGGAGCCTGGACTGCAAGCTGTGTTTCCCACAGGGTGGCAGGGGACAGGTGTCTGAGCTGGCACCTGCTGCTTCCCAGAAAGCAGAAAGTGAAAGCAGCACTCCAACTCAGGAACCAATCACTGTTTTAATTCCCTGCCCCCAATATATCAACTCTTTGACTGTATGGGACTTTTTGTGTATGTGTGATCATTTTACTGTTTTACTACATTTGTGGTTGAGCAGTGGTTTTTTATTTTTACTTTTGTTACTTTTCTGATGAGTAATGAAACCTCTTTGAGAAGTCCTGGTATGGGAAAACAGGAATATTATCTCTGAAATGGACTTGTGTGCTAGGTTCATACACGCAGGAAAAAAAAAAAAACAAAACAACTACTCCAAATCACTTAGGAACATAAAAATAAATAGATGGAAATCCAGGTTGAAGTGCAGGAAAATGATATATATTTGGATAGAAAGAGGGAGGAGACATGCCTATCAAAAGTCAGGTCAATGTTTTATTAAAGTGGAAGTTATTTCCAAAATATCACGAAGCAGGATTATCTTTGGGGAATGGACTTTAACAGAAAGCAAAGAACCACTGAGATTTTATCCATTCCCTCCCGTTCATTAATCGCCTGTTCAAAGAGGCAAAGCAGCAACTTTCTGGGACAGAAAGTTCCATTATAAGACCCAAAAGAAAGAAGGAACGCTTCTCCAGTCTTATCTTCTTGCTTCTCTGTGCCCAGCGGAGAGAAGGGGAGAGCTAAGGACTGGCAAACTGCTGTGCTAAGAAACACAACTCAGGGCTTTCCTGGGCCAAGTCCCAGGAGTGCCCGCGAGTCGGGTGCTGGCCATAACCCTTTGGCACAGGTCAAAGCAGTTAGGATCAAAATGCCTGTTTGCCTGCGTGCCACCCCACCAGACGTTACGAAGCTAGAGTTTAGGACCAAGGTAACCTCCCTGGCCAGGCTCCAGGTTGGGCAACCCCGCCCGGGAGCACCTGCTGTCTGCTCTCCCGGGGGCGACCTCCAGCCTGGGGTGAGGGCGCAAGCTAAGGTGCCCGTGCGCGGCCAGGGACGCGACCTGGGGCGGCTGTGGCGCCCTCCCACCTGGGCAGGGGCACTCGCAGCCTCCCGCCCGGAGCCCCGACGGGCGCAGCGCCAGGGCTGGGGAGGGGCCGCGCGAGGGCGGGGGGCCGGGCGCGGGGCAGGGCCGGGCCGGGCTGTGCCTCTCTGGTCTCCCTCCCGGGCAGCTCCCGGGCCGCAGCTCTCGCAAGAGCAGACACTTGTGGGGAGCGCGTTCGTGGTGTCTCGCGCGCCCAAAAGCCCTAGCAATGAGGACTCTCTGGATGGTGCTGTGCGCGCTGACGCGCCTGTGGCCCGGCGTCTTGGGTGGCTGTGCCGAAGCCGGGCGTTGCTGCCCTGGCCGGGACCCTGCCTGCTTTGCCCATGGCTGGAGGCTGGACAGGGTCTACGGGACCTGCTTCTGCGACCAAGCCTGCCGCCTCACCGGTGACTGCTGCTTCGACTACGCCAGGGCGTGCCCAGGTGGGTGGCTAGGCCCAGGGTGGGACACCAGCTGTTTGTCCTCAGCCAATCTGTGCAGGGTGGGGTGCTGCGCCCAGAACTGCATTCCAGGAACCAGCTCCTCCCAAGCCCTTCCATCCTGGCATTTCCAGTCTCTGCAGCACAGCGCACTGCAGCCCACCTGCTGGGTACAACCCTCCTGCCATTGCTGGATTCTAGGCTCCTAGGCACCCCTCCCACTGGGGCTGGCTGGAAGAGGCTGCAGGGTTGGACTCCTCTCTATGGTTGGATTTTAGGACTCAGGGACTCCAACTGGGTAGGGCCACCATGGCCATCTAGAGAGGTGTCAGGGACAAGTCTCAGGTTTGTCTGGCTGGGTACACCCCAGCAGGGCTTCACCACTCTGAGTCCATTAATTCTCAGAGCTCCTTGTGCCAAAAGCTTGCTTTGGGATCTGGAAGAGATAGATTTTTGGAAATCTAAGGGTGTCCTCACCTCTGGACCCCGACAGTGTAGCACAGCTGGAGGTGCGACTTAGTAAGGTTGTGAACTCCAATTTTATCTCTATGTAGCCTAGTGTGGTTTTGATCTCAAGGTGCCTGCTACACTTAATCTTGCTAGTTTTTCTTTGGGGTTAGTCTTTTTCTTTTTGAAACATTTATTTACTAACTTACTTATTTAAAAGGTAAAGTAGATGGAGTGGGGCAGGGTACAAAGGGAACGCCTTGAGCCTGAGAAACAGTTTGATGAAAAATAAATAATAACAATAATATAGAGGGACAGAGAGAAAGAGCTCTGTTTTTGCTGGTTCACCCTCCAGATGGTCACAGTGAGCCAGCCAGAAACCAGAAACTCCATCTTGCTCTCCTGCGTGGATATCAGGAGCTCAAGAACTTAGACCACCCCTCAGCGGCCTTCCCCAGCACATTAGCAGGAAGTTGGATTAGAAGCAGAGCAGCACCTGGGATTTGAACCCACCTTCTGATATGGAATGTTGCAATGAGTGACTTAATATATTCTACCAGACTGTCAGCCCTAAGATCAGTCTTTTTTTTTTAAAAAGATTTATTTATTTTTATTACAAGGTCAGATATACAGAGAGGAGGAGAGACACAGAGGAAGATCTTCCGTCCTATAATTCACTACCCAAGTGAGCGCAATGGCCGGTGCTGTGCCGATCCGGAGCCAGGATCCAGGAACTTCTTCCAGGTCTCCCACATGGGTGCAGGATCCCAAAGCTCTGGGCCATCCTTGACTGCTTTCCCAGGCTACAAGCAGGGAGCTGGATGGGAAGTGGAGCTGCCGGGATTAGAACCGGCGCCCATATGGGATCCTGGCATGTTCAAGGTGAGGACTTTAGCCGCTAGACCACGTCGCCAGGCCCAATCAGTCTTTTTTATCTTTAAATTTTCTGTAGCTTCTCTCTCTTGCTCTTATAAGGAGTCAGTAAAAGAAAATTGAATTAAAAGGCAAGGTGGGAGATGAAGAACAAGGTGGTGTCCGAGAGAAGTCAGCTTCACAAAGAAAGGCAACCCTGCTCCCTCTTAGTCACTTTGCTTTCAAAGCTACACCTGGGTTTAGGGTTTATGGTCAAGGATCTAGTGGGTGAGCTCCTCAGCATCTTCCAGGGAGAGGAAGCCAGGGTTGTATCACGGTCCAGGGACTGGTGTCTCTTTGCTGCTTGAAAGGGCTCCCAGCCCATGGCCAGGCCTGCTGCTGACACCCAGAGTAATGGACCAGGACAGGGGTCACAAGCTAATGATTTCCTTATGAATAGCAATATTCTTTTTTGGATGCTGCTTGCCCCTGCCTGTGGCAAGGCCAGGGTGTTTCACCACCCAAGTAAGGTGCAAGTCAGATGTTTAGGAGAGGAAGGGCCTGCAAGCCTGAGCATCCTGTCCTTGTGTTTGCTCTGCTTACTGGATAACTCAGGCAAAGCCTCTCTCACTGTGACAGAATCACTCTCTCTTGAGTGGCTTGCTTGCATGTTTGAGGTAAGTAGAGGATCCATGTAGTCCAGAGGATGTACTGGGATCTGTGAGAAGCAGGCACAGAATAGAGATTCCCAGTGGAAGCCCCAAAGTGTGGAAGATATGAATGGACTATATTTTTCCCTGGAAAAAAAATATGTATTTTTTCCCTGAAGTGTTGTCACGTAGCTCCAGATCTGCAGTCCTGTGTGCTGTCTGGTACCTCCTTTGCATAATTACTACTCTCACACTGGGGGCCAACTATTGTGTATTGCAAGTATTGCAAGCATTGTGATGGTGAGAAGTTGGCATTGATAAATCTAAGAGACGATTCAGGTCCTGGAATAGATGGAACCAGAGTTCATCACACTTCTCAGAATGCAGCACAATTCAAAAAGTTTTGAGTTGGGTATTCCTGGAATTTTCCATAGATTTTTCAACCATGGTTGACTCCAGGAAACTAAAATGATGGAAAATGAGATCATGGATAAAGGGGGCAACTACTGGAATAGGAGGTATGGGAGCAAAATCTTTAAACAGCTGAGAGATTCAAAGAAGACTACCTGGAGGAAGTCATGGGCCACCTAGTAATGAAGAATGAAGCCAGGGTCTCCAGGAGAGAGGCCGAGAGGGCTCCGGAGTGTAGGCCGTTCCTGGTGACATCAGCCTGTTTGTACCAGGCTGTGTGCTCAGCTCTAAAGGGAGCAGGACAAATGGCAGACTTGGCCCTGGAGAAGTTCCTGCAAGGTGAGCGCTGTGAGAATTCACTAAAGTCCTCACAGTGTTTCAGGGAGCTGCTCAAATCTCCCTGGGCCTTTATTTGGCTAAAAAGAAATCTCTGACTTTCAGAGGAGGAGGTAGAAATAACAAAACAAAGAGTCTATTTTGGGAGCATGGGTTTATCGGTTTATCCCTCCTGGGGACAATGTAGGAGGCAATCACAGCAGGTGCATGCTGGGAGCAGGGCTGTGAGTGGTGGACAGGAAATGGTGTCTGGACAAACTGCCAGAGGAATACCTCCGGGAGCCCCACAGGGCTAAGGGGAGCACTTGGCAGGCCAAGCAAGCAGCAACTGCACGCCCACAAAGGCACTTCGATGCGCCTGAGTTTCTTGGGGTGTGAGTAGTGGGGAGAGAAACAGAGGCAGCAGGAAGCTGGCTTGAGGGTGACACCTAGCCTGCCTGAGCTGTCAGAGCTGTCAATAGGAGGGAAGGACCCCTGTGCAATTGAAGGGCTCTGTGTCCCCAACCATGGACAAGCGCCTCAGCTATGCTGACTGTGGATGCGTGGCCTGGTGGCCCCAGCCCTGCCTCACGAGCCTAGAGCTGAGCTGACCAGGCAGCTGGGAGCTGGCTGGAAGGCAGCTCCTGGAATGCAGGCTTCCATTCACACAGCCTGCCTCCCAAACATTTATTTTTGACATGAGCATTTTTTTTCTTCCCAGAAATAACCTGAATACCTCAATTTTGCCCTTTAAGTCAGAGGAGGCTGGGCTCACCCTTTACACTGCCAACTACTTGCAGGCCTTGTGACTTTGCAATGTGTATGGCAGCCTCTGGGGCCCAGAACTAGTGCGCACGCTTGGTGAAGGAGGGGAGGAGATTATGCCTGGAAAGCCTCCAGCTCAGTTCGTGGGAGGCGCTTCGGGAACAAGTGTACTGTTGCTTGGCACTGGTGAATATCTTATGTGATTATTTATACAATAATTCAAGTTAATACGTTGCAGTAATTTCTGTGATATTATAAGTGTAGTGAGCTAAGTCACTTCTTGTGATGCTGGCATCTCATATAAGCATTGATTCAAATCCCAAATGCTCTGCTTCTGATCCAGCTCCTGCTAATGTTTCTGGGAAAGAAAGCAGGAAAAAAAGATCCAAGTACTTGGGCCTTTGTCATCCATATGGGAGATCCAGCATGGATACAGGCTCCTGGCTTCAGCCTGGATCAGCCTGGCTATTGTGGCCATTTGGGGAGTGAACCAGTGGAGGAAATTTCTCTCTCTCTGTCTTCCCATCCCTCTGTCCTTCAAATAACTAAATAAATTGTTTAAATGACCCTTTAAAAACAACAACAAAAAAATCTTTTATTGAGCTGTCTTCCATGTGTCCAACATCTATACACTCTGTCACATTTAATCCTTCCAGTAGTTCTGTGAGATAGGCAGGTATGACCATACTCCCTAGCTGGCAGTTGGGGACAGAGACATAACCTGGCAGTGTAGACGCCATCTGGCAAGCCTGCATCCCGTAGTGTGATGCTTGTGTGTGTGATCTCCCTGCTAATGCACACCCTGGGGCAGCAGGTGAGGCCTTAGGCATCTGAGTCCTTTTCATTCATGTGGGAGTTTGGCTGGAATTCCAGGCTCCTGTCTTCATCCCTGGCTGTTGCAGGCATCTGTCGAGTAAACCAACAGATGGGAGAATCTCTCTGTCCTTAAAATAAGTAGCATTATTATAAAAAAAAAAAAGTGCCTTAAATTCTGAAGGTTTTCTTTTTTTCATTCTCTTTCTCTTTCCTTCCCCCCTCCCTCCCTCCTTCCTTCCTCTTTCGTTCTTTCTTTTTTTCTTCCTATTTCTTTCTTTTCTTTCTCCTTTCTTTCTCTGTCTCTGTCATTTCTTTTCATATTTCTTTTGTTTCTTCTTTTTTTGTTTTTCTATCTTTTTTCCTCTCTCTTTCCTTCCCTTCTTTCCTTCTATCCTTCCTTCCTTACTTTTTTCTTTCTCTCTGTTTCTTTCTTTTCCTGTGACTCATTTGGCAGCAACAATCTTTCCTGACCTGAACTGATTGATGGAAAATTATTGATAGCCAGTGTTTATTCCATTTTATGTAACTCTATCTTGCATGAAAATAATAATATATCCACAAGGAGCAGTCCCAAACACTGTAGGTAGGGAGGAAGGAATATCTAAGATAGGATTCCCTTCTAATATTTTTAATTCTGAAATTCACTTGGCTTACGGATCTGGAAGATAATGGTCCTGACCTACATTAACATTTTACAGATGCATAAACTGAGCCTTTCAGGGTTCCTGCTGCTTAAGTTAGCATACG